ATATATCCTAGGCATTTTCCTAAGTTCTTAGGATACATCAGTGAAGAAATAGGCAAAAAAGTTTTGTATTTATGTGCTTGTGTTCTATATATGAGTCCACTTCTTCACTATTTGGTCAAAATCACTTGCCCTACAAATTAATCATCAAGTCATTCTCTATTATTCACTTTAGCTTCAAACAGCAAATTGAAATAATGTAGTAATATATGAATATTGATTTTCATGTTTTAAACCTGAAAATCATTACTGATAAATCAAAAGTCTGAATACAAACTTGAGAACAAAGCAAGTTATATGGAGGGCAATTTCAGTCAAAATTAGAATTACAATTAGCCATGATTCCTAGTTAATGCCTTTACCTGGAAATTTTTAGCCAAAAGACAGATCCAAAGTGCACCCTGGTTTTACAGTGTCCTTATGTTTATGAAGATGGGGTCATGATAGATCAGTTGTAATAGTGTAATTGAGTACAATTGAACTTTGGCTCTATTAGCAGGTTGCCTAAATGCTGATAGATCATGTGTTCCTGCTTTGCTATCTGAAATAATTTTTTTGGAAAAACCAGTCATGCTGAAGTTCCAGGAAACAGCCATTATCAACAACCAAAAATATGAATGAGGAAGGTTTTGAAATAATGAGAACCCTACTCTAACTGAATAGAGCTCTCAAGAAAGGACCACAGAGCTAAGTTCAGTCAATAAAGAAAATTGGCTATATAATAATATATTTATATGTAAAAAATATTTATTAAGTGTCTTCTCCGTGCCAGAACCACTAGTTATTTAACAATCCTAAGAAGGTTCGTGCTCTCCTGGAACTCATACTAGTAGTACTAGCAACAATAACAAAAATAATAAGCAAATTAGAATAAGAAAACTAAAATAAGTGATCCAGTGTCATCTATTATGTAGGAAATAAGTTGTTGCTAAGGGATAAAATGGATAAACTTGTTCTGATTGATACATGATATTTTTTTCTTTGTTCAGGTTTGCTTGGTTGGAAAGTAATAAAAACAGACATAAAAACAAAAACAAAAAGTAAAATACAAAATGGAACTCAATGAGTCCATAAGGTAACAGAGTGAAGATTCTACAAATAATCACAGAAAGTAAACTTAAATTGCTGTGAAAAAGTATAAGTACCAGACAAGAGAAGCTAAATGTCTCATAATTGTATAGGTGATTAAAATTAAAATTACTTTTCAGGATCATTTTTACTCATACTTCTTAGAAATTTTCATTTTACAAGATGCTCAGTAGGAAGAAAAGCAAAAGACATTTGTTTACCCATACATGCATTATGAAAAGTGATGAAGAGCCTAACATAAGTAAATAAACAATGATTACATGAAAGTAACAGAAAGTCAGGCTGATGCATCAAGAATACTTAGTTTTTTATCAATAAATATTTTCCTTACTATAATCACTTTTTAGCCCATGCCATAGATATGGAAGAATTCTATGGAATGAGTGATTCAGGGAGATAAAACAGAAATAGTCTTAAGGAACAAGCATGTAACATGAAAAATAAAGAGAAAGAAGCTCATTGGTCCAGCCTCAAGGTCCTTTTACAAGATAAATAGACCATTATGCAGCCACGAGTAACTTCTTAGCTTATCACATTAGGATGAATCAAGGGTGATCTCTTTTCTTCCCACAATTGTTCCAGGTTGGTACTTGTCACACTCCAGCCCAGAGAGATGTGAAACCAGCCACATAAACAGATAAAAGTAATTATAATACAGAAAAAAATTGAACAGTATTCTAGAAAAGTGGGAAGAAGAAATAGCTTACAAATTATGAAGAGAACAGTGTTTCAGAGAAAAATTCATAAAAGAATTAATATTTAAGTCTCCAATTGTTAGGACTTTTCTATGCAGAGTGAAGGAATTGGCTGATAAGAGAATCTCAGGTGTGTGCATTAAACCATGAAAGGAGGAAATGTCTGGATGTGTTTGAGGAATGGTGAGGAGTCAGTGGGCCTGAAGCATGGGCTGCACAGAGGCATTATAGCACAGGACAGAAAAGTTGAAGGGAGTGCTCTGACACTAAATTATAAGGCCATCCTTTGCTATTTTCCCCCAAACCATGCATGAACACATCTTTAGTACACAGGAATTACCTATTTATTATCTGTAATGTAAAAATCTACTATCGTCTCCCATAAGGATATCCTATAATACTTTATGTGTCATTTATGGAACCTGTCATCGTCTTCCTCTACCTGGAAAGATAAATTTATGTGAAATATTACCTTTCCCATCAGTGTTTTATTTATCTTGACTTGACAGTCCCTATGACAGTCTTGATTTATGATAGATGCTAAATACTTCCTTGCTAAACTCAGCAGAAAGTAGAGAATGGTGGCCAGCTTTCTAATTTTTGGTCATGATAGAATATGTATGTTGAAATAGAGTCAGTGAAATTTGTGTTGGAACAAACTTTTAAAACTCTATATGAGACACTGATATAATAATAAACAATAAGGGAGTTAAAAAAAACAAAGATGGAGGCCAGTTCTTTTTATTCTTTTTAATTGCTTTTATTTAGAATACTTGACAAATAAGAATTGTAGCTATTAAAGGTGCACAACATAATTTGATAGGTGCATTCATTGTGTGATGATTCCCATAATAAAATTAATACATGCATCACCTTATTTATGGGACAGGGATGAGGACAAATCTTTCCTCATAAATTTTCAAGTAAACAGCCCAGTAGTAATAACTGTAGTCACCATGTAATACATTTCATCCCAGGACATACTCACCTTGCAACTGAAAGTTTATGCCCTTTGAGGAAAACTTCCCCATTTCCCTTTCCTCCAGAACCTAGAAACCAATAATCTTATCTGATTTCATGAGTTCAACTCTTTTAGATTCTACATGTAAGTAAGATCATGCAGTGTTTGTTTTTCTATATCTGCTCATTTCAGTTAGCACAATGTACTCCAGAGTTATTCATGTTAGCACAAATGGCAGGATGTACTTCCTTTAAAACACTGAATAATATTCTATTGTACCTTTTCATTATCCATTCATTCATCCTTGTCACTTGGCTTGAATCCATATCTTGTCCATTGTGAATAACTCTGAAGTGAAAATGGGCTTCCTTATGTCTCTGTAAGGTACTTTTATTTCCTATGCTTTGTTAAAACAAAACTTGAGGCCACAGGCTCTGGAAATAAAAGGCTTTATCGAATATTTCTGATACTAGCAAGAAAAGGACTGGCACTGGGACAATTTCCATATTTGCTAGTGGTAAGACTAGATAGCAGTTGAAAAAATGTTCACCAGAAATAATTGACAAGAGAACATTTTTTGAAACAGGGTCTCATTATGTAGCCCAGGCTGGCCCTGAAATCATGACCTTCCTGCCTGAGCCTCCCAAGTGCTGGGTTTACAAGCTGCATCGCTGTGCCCAGCAACAAGAACATTTTTGTAATAAAAATCCGAGGAAGAAAAGTATAGATTATTTGCATTGAACTTACTATGGCTATAGATAAGAGAGGGGTATAGGAAGTGGGTATAGTTTTTTTATTAGGAAGGATATCCATAAAGAGAAGTAGTCATTGGTTTTTGATTGGTTAGAGTTAGCAGTGTAGAAAGTTTATACACAAACAGAAGGTGGTAGTTCTGGTATTGTCCTCTGTGGGTTGTAAGTCAAGGTTTAACATACATTTAGGAATGTGGATATTTATAAGAATTTGGCCTTTAGCTATTAACTGATAGACTTTGCTTATCTCATCCCTCTTTCAATCCTCCAGTTTTTATAATTAAATTTAGGACATATCAGAATTTTTCCTTTGTCAGTACATAAACCCAGAGTGGGATTATTAAATACTAAGGTAATTCTATTTTAATTTTTGTGATTCCACTTTTAAATTTTTGAGGAACCCCTATACTGTTTTTCATAAGGGCTGTATCAGTTTTCATTCCATGGTTGTGTGCAAAATCTCCCTTTTCTCCACACCCTCCTTTATTTCACATCTTGTTTGATAGAGAGCAGATCTTGGATGCCATACATTGTATCTTCTTTTGTCCTGGCTTCGGCTGCAGTTAGCTTATGTCAATAAACATCAACTCAAACACTATAATCAAAATATTTCCCCTAGATCTAATATGTTTTAGCCTGTCTACATAGGGTTAGACATGCCTTCCTAGTGGAATTGTACCTCTTAAGTTTGAGTTTCAGAGTTAAACTTGGCAGTATCATATCCAATAGTAAGTTCAATGAATTATTTAATATTGAACAAGAACCAAGAGTGACAGAAAACTTACATTGTTCCAATTAGTTTCATAGGAAAATTTTCCTACAGATTTGTGCTGTAGGGCCACTTGATTTTGGATCTAAGAGGAAGGAAGAAGAGGACAATATGTGGAATTAATCCTGAGCTATCAGGAAGGCCTCATTCTGAATCACTTTTTACAATTGTGTTGAACATTATTCCTAGAAGCAGGAATGTATTTTGTCAACTTTGGGGATATTTTCTTCAGATTTATGTCCTGACAGTGTTATTACATGTCTTTCCCCAAAATTGTCATACATTTCAAAATATCATCTTTTGGGCTGGTGGAGTGGCTCAAGTAGAAGAGCACCTGCCTAGCAAGCATGAGGCCCCGAGTACAAACCCCAGTACCACCACCAAAAAAATATATACCACTCCTGTTATATATTCATTTATCATGCTGCTTTATCTGAAAGGTTTTCCTAAATAATTTATTTCCTCAGTAACTGCCACAGAATGAATTACACTTTGACTTTTGATATATTTAAATTTTATTTATTAACAAGTATTATAAATATTTATTCCTGAGAAATAGCAGTTTAGATGTTATTTTGGGTCATGGTAGTATGTACTTGAATATAAATAAATCACTTTGGTATTGAATGATCAGAGTAGGTAGATATCTGTTTTCAAACAGAAATTTTAGCATGTCTCTTTATAAAGTAAATTGAGTATTAACTCTTATTTGATTTTCATGGAAATTGTGGAAAATTTTTAAAAAAGCACACACTCAAAGGGGTAGAGTGTGGGCTTGAAAGATACGCACTATTCTACCACAGTAAGGTTTGCGCTATATTCTTGAGATTCTGGTCCATACTGAATTTCTTTGAATGGTTCATTAGGCTAATCAACTACTTTGTGCTGACCACTTGGTGAATCAATCACTTTTTTTTTAGCTGTACTCATGATCTTTCCTGATGGTTCCTGCTCTTATCCTGTGTGACTTCAATCAGTGACAGGACCAACCTAGAGGGCATGTAATTATTCACTGTCACGCTACAGAAGCACATTTGGTGTTAGTTAATGACATTATGTGGTCCATGAGACATCAAAATATGTTTTCCTTTAAGGTTCAGTACCACTTAGGGATGTACACAATTTGCTATGGGGATTTTTGTGAGGGTACAGTATAGGAACACAGAGTTTAAAGTTCCCTGTATGGTCTCTCTGTGAGGTCAGAGCTATATGAGCAGGAATGAATACAACACAATGTAAGAAGCTTTATTGACACATATTATTTGTTTTTCTCCTTGGCCTCTCTACCTTTTCCTATCTCACACTGATGTCTGTTTCTTAACTTATAGAATAAAGAGATTGGACATTGTCTTCTGCAAGATTCACACAGTGTTAGAATTACCATCGTCTGTGTACTTTGTGCACTAATGTACACTGAGCAGTAAGAACATTGTACACAACTGAAGGGTCAGAGAGCCATAGTGGAAGGTAAAGAAAATGCAGTAGGATTCACAGTCAAGAGTCAGGTGACATTTTCATTTGACAGGCTTTAGTTCCTTTTGGCAGATCCATTTATTTTCTCCATCACAAGTCTCAGAAACCATCTTTTGCTTTGAGATGACAACACATTTGTTTTCTTCAGGAGTACCAGTAATTTTTAATCTGAGAAGCAAAGGAAAACCCTCTTTTAGTGTTTAAGAATTTTCCTAGATATCCTTAGTTGCCAATTTTTTGACTAGGAGTTTCAGGAAGTCCAAGATTATACATAGTTATTAAACATTATCACAAATATAATGGTAAAAGTTTTTAATATAAAGCTAATATAAACCCCTGGAACTTTTAGGTTCATATTCTCTGGAAAGAGTCCTTCTAACAATAAGCTTTATAATGATAAATTAAAAAGAGAAACTTTGAAAACTTAAAGCTAAATCTTCCTATTCTATTAACGCGTCATGTGAAAAGTTTCTTCACTTTGCTGAGTCTCAGTGTTCGTAAATTCATAGGACATTGTCTCCTAATTCTTGGCATAAGAACACGTGACAATGCTTAAACAAGTGGACATTCAGTAAACACAATCAATATACCAGAGGCCACACCAGTGGCTCATGCCTACAATCCTGGCTATTTGCCCAGGCAAATAGTTCTTAAGACCCTATCTCGCATAATCAGCGTTCCTTTTGAATAAACAGGAATCCTGTTCCATTTTTTTACATAGCTCCTTAGGTCTGAGCAGCTCAAGTAATTTCTTCCTAATGCCCCACACCCTCATTAAACTATGACTTCCCTCAATTACACTATTATAAATGTTACCTGTATTTTTTTCCCATCCTTCAGAGTCTTTCTTCAATTTTTAAGGTAATTTTTTTCCTTTTGCATTCCTGGAGATAGAATCTAAGACTTTGCACTTGCTAGGCAAGCACTGTGCCACTTGACCCACTCCCCCCACCCTCTTTGCTTTTTTGTTTTCAGTTTATTTTTCAGGTAGGGTCTCACTCAAACTTTTTATATATTTAATATTTTCAATACTTAGTAATTGCTTTTTAATGATAATTTATCCTAGCATCTTAAATTTCAATTACTTGTTTTTCTGAATGATAAAAATACATCATAAATGTTAATATATATAAATTTTATTAAAACATTCAAGATTCATAAAACATGACAGAATCACTTCTGAAAACTCTTTATAGAAACTTGGCTGAACCTCTGTATACTTTATACAAAAGAAAGGAATATCACATCTTTTACTGTACAACTAATCATGAATTTTGCTAAAATATGTAATCTAATTATGAAGCACAAACCCTCCTATTACATTGGTGGTTATCTTGACAGTCTTACACAAGAAGAAACAAGACACCAGAGAAAATAGCAACTGCCTCATTTGTGGTCAATGCACATCTTCATCACATCCCTCAAATGCCTCTCTTCCATCACCCTGGCTAAAATATACTACATCCTTTGCCAAAATGTGTGCACTTCCTCTCATATGATTAACTTTCACACACTGATATTTACCATTTTCCCTTTTTAATCATTCTTTCTATGGTGGTTGTGACCTGATTGATTGGTGTCAAGAGCTGTTACTGTACCTTTCCCCACAATTTGGAAAATACTATGAAATTCTATGAGGGAAGAACTTCCAGGTATACATTTAAAATTTTTTATGTGCCTCTCCCAAAGAAGTTAGTTTAGTCCTGTCCTTTAAAACTTTATTGCAGATTAAAATATAAATTATTGTGAAAGAAGAATATAGCACATTTTCAACCTACTTGGGAATCATTCATCTTCTAAGCCTTTTGTAAATTTCTAACTCAAAGCTATTAAATTAAAAAATAATGTTACTACTTTGCAATGTAAACCTGATATGAATTGGATATTCAAATTAGCTCATATAATACTCACATATCAGAATTAAAAACAGAGCCATTTATCCACTTCCAGTTCTCCTCTGGTAATGTATAATGTAGTCCAATCCAAAATAGATGTATGTCATTCTTTTGTAAGCCCTGTATGAGTCCCCACAATGAAACCTGAAAAAGACTTAATATTGATTCTGTTTATCTATTCATGATTTGTTTTCACAACTCATCCCCTATCACCAGTTGCAAAGTATCACCCACTCTGTGAAGTCTTTCCTAACTCCCTGAGTTAACTTTTCCTTCTTTGCAGTCTCTCTCTCTTTCTGCTTCTCTCTCTCTCTCTCTCCCACCCCAGGTCTTGGTCTCTGCCTTTCTTTTCCTCTCACTGTCTCTTTCTTTCTCTACTTGTATATATATATACACACTTGTGTATATATATACACACAGATAAATATATATTTCTAATACATTTGTTACATTGTATTCAATTATTCGCATATATCTTGTCTCTCCTATCATAAGTGTCTCAAAGTCAAAGTTTCTAATTCCAATGCATAGAACTTTTGGCTAAAGTCCAGAGACCATGATCTATTTTAAAGAAAGTGTTAAGTTCTAGTAAGGAATTTTATTTAATGGTTTATACCAGTTCTTCCTGGTCTTGAATGAGCAGCAAACTGGATTCTTTCTCAGAGCAGTCACTTCTGCTGTCATTCCAAGATTTGGAAGTGGAATGAAAAACTCCTAAACATTTATTGTGGAGACTATGCCAATCTGGGGGACACTCTACCAGAGGTGATCTCTCTAAAATAAGAAAGAGAAAGAAGTGTTGTCTTTCACCTTGTCCCTATTGTACCTCAACCAATTACACACATACATCATTATAAATGCTCAGAAGTCCTTGATTACAATAGTGAGAACAATAAATTCTGAAGTTTTGAAAACCTAGTGTTCATTCTGGTACTAAGAATTAGAATCTGTGACCAGTAATATAAGAGCATAAATGGAATCATAGAATATTAGAATAGGCAGGAAAATACCATTAACATAATTTAAACAGACATGTCTTACATTTTGACATACTGGGAGAATAACTGGTTCAGACCAACTCACTCAGATTGGGATAGAGACAAGGCTATTTCTCAAATCTCATTAAATACATCACCAGTGCTTATTTCACTAACTGGACAGCAATATTAAACTCATCTAAAGAATGCTTACTTTAAACAACATGCAACATACAAAGCCAAAAGTAATTGATTTCCCTAAATTCATGAGAAATACCACAGAGGAAAAAAACTTTAAGAAAATTTCTGTCAATGATGCACTTTTATACTAATATGACCTATTGGATGTTATTTTCCAGAGGTTTATTAAATTTTCTCCAGGTTTATTAAATTTTCTGTTGTATGAGAATGTGCATAAAGTTCACATTCTGTTACAATCTCTGTGATTTATTAATACACATTTTACTAAGATAGACTGGAACAAGGTTAGTGTTACTACATGTAAAAGAAATAAAATAAAGAATTCATTCAACATTCTGAGTTGCCATTATTAACCAAAGTTAGTTAATTTTGGTTAAGTAACATTTTGTTTGACATCTTCAATATAATAATCCAATATTCCACTTAAATGAATAGTTTGCTTCTTAAACCAATATTTGCTTATTAGTGATCAAATGTGCTAGCAGCATAAGACAGTATGGCCTAATGATTAAGATTACAGACTTTAATGTCACACAGCCTAAATGTAAAACCCAGCATCACTACTACCTGTGTAATTCTGAACAAGTTGCTTAACCTTTTATACCTAGGCTTTCTCAAACATAAAATCAAGGTGATGTTACTGCTTTAATTTAAGGCTTACTGTGAGCCTTAAGTAAGTTAATAAACAAATCCTATCAAATATTAGTCATTAGGAAATTCAGTCCATATAATTACCTGTTGTTTCAGTCCTGTTTTCTTGAATATCCACAATGCATTTTTCTATTGATGATTTTTGTATTAAGACTACCACTAGCAAATAAGAAAACACATGAACAGAATTAAATACCAAAGTTTGTGGTGGACTAGATATTATACATATATAAGTTTAGGAAAACATGTTATCTCAACAAGCTTGAATACAGACAGAAGATAAAACTATTAGCAATGTGACAACAAAGGGTCCAGTTTGGAGACAGTACACAAAAATAAGAAAAAGCACCAAATGAGTGGACCTTCAACCAATACTAGGTTATAATTATCCACTAGATAAGCCAATGTCAGGAAGCCACTTCAGCTCTTCAATTGCTTACTCTTGCCAAACTTCCTCAATCTTCAGAATGAGTGAATAATGCCTCTTCCAAGGGAGAGATTTTGTACTGCTATCTGGAATTTAATAGGCTCTTATTATACTGCAAATAATTGGACATTTTAATTTTCTTTGTTATTGTCACCTTTATGTCACAACTGTGACTTTTTTTAAGTTCTTGGAGCATATGTGTAATACCCCATAATGACTCTGAGAACAATTAGAAAGAGAAATGAGAAAGAAATGGGAAAACATGTGGCCTTTGGCTTTCTGAACCTGGCTATCTTCACTTCAGATGATGTTCTCCAGTTCCATCCATTTACCTGCAAATAAAATTTCTTTCTTCTTTATGGCTGAATAAAATTCCATTATATATAAATACCACATTTTCTTAATTTATTCATCAGTAGTGGGGTGTCATGGCTGTTTCCATAGCTTAGCTATTGTGAGTAGTGCTGTAATAAAGATGGGTGTGCGGGTGCCTTACATCCCTTCAGGTATATCCTTAGGAGTGGTATCGCTGGATCATATGACAGTTCTATTTTTAGTTTTTTTGAGGAAACTTCATAATGTTTTCCTTAGTGGTTTTACTAATTTACATTCCCACTAGCAGTGTATGAGGGTTCCTTTTTCCCCACATCCTCCCCTACATTTATTGTTGTTTGTGTTCTTGATGGTAGCTATTCTACCAGGAGTGAAGTAGAATATTAACATGGTTTTGATTTGCATTTAACACAAATATAAGCAATATTTTGAAAAACAGGTCATGCTAAGGGGAGGTCATATACAAGAGAAGGAGGGTATAAGAAGGAAGTTAAGAAGATGAACATGGTTGATATATTTCCTATATAAGAATGAGTATAGAATTTTTAAACCTGTTGAAATCAACATAAGATGGAGACTAAGGTAGAAAGGAGGAAAATAGAGGAGATGAACCAATTCAGGCTATAATACATATATACATGGAAATGTCACAAGGAAACCAATGTGTAACTATCTTTTTTTTGTGTTTTACAAAAATCAGAAAACAGGAGGGCCAAACAGGTCCAGTATTAGGGGTTGGTACCAATGAGAATGGGGGAAGATGAGGTAGGGAAAAAGTGTAGGAGGGTGAATATGATGCAAATACTGTCTACACATGTATGCAAATGGAACAATGAAACTATTCCAGGAATGGGAGGAAGAAGAATAAAGAAAATGATGGAGAGAGTGAATTCAACTAACTTTTGTAAGTGTCACAACAACAAAAAGAAGTGGGAACATTCCAAATTGGATATGGGCTGACTGTTACTGTCTTATAATTTTTCATTTCATTGATCTTTCACTAAGCTTGGGGTGGCCAAATTATGTGAAGATGCTCTAATATTTACCATGGCAATAGACTGGAAATTCTGAAGCAAGTGATCTTGCCTCACTTACCTGAAACACTCAACCCAATCACACTCAAGACCAGAAGAAGTATCACAGCACAGCCAAGTTTCAGTGCCAACTGATGGCAAGATGGGCCCTGACAGATATCTGGGAATTTCAAGAAACATATTTGTTTAATTCAGTTGAGTACATTTGACACAAAAATCAAAGGTGGTTTGTAAAGCTTATGGAGCATTAGATTCAGCTTGGGGGTTGGGTATAGAAAAGAATCTTTCTTAAACATCTTAATATAAAGTTCCGTCCACACGATGAATTCTAGGATCCAACTAATAGTTTGCTTTGATAAAATAGGAATAATTGTGCATTTCACATGTACAAAGGATTGGTATGAGAATCAAATAAGATGGAGGCAAAGATGTTTCAAAAATTGCAACATGGCATACAGAAATAAAGTGCCTGTACTATTGTAGGAAGAGGTCCAGGCATCTCCTCTAAGAAGGAGGGCCTTTGTTTATTCAACATATACTTTTTGAATCCGTATTTTGTATCAAGCACTACATTAGGTGCTGGTGATATATGGCAATTCTGTTCTTGGACATTTAACCCTTTGCTTAACTGTTGTCTAGAATGAAATAAATTCTTCAACTTGGATCAAATATGTGGCATTCAAGGAAGGATGTTTTGTGAGTAAGCATGTTATTTTCAGTATTTCAACTACAGTAGTCCCTGTTGTACTGGCTATGTTCCAAGACCCCTCAAGGGAACTTGGATTGTGGATAGTAGAAAACCCTGTATATACTGGGTATATTCTATGCATACACACAGAATTTCCATCTCAGCTCAGCACCTCTTGGAACTGTGGCTACAACTTTCACAGCTTGAGTTGTGACAGAAAACATAGCATGAGTTTCTTTTTGTTTCTTAATAATTTTGTAGATAGAAGATTATTACTACAGTAGAGCTTAGATATTTTTTCTTTCCTTAAGTGCAGAACTTTCACCTTTTCATTCACATGAAGCACTTTAAGGCTTCTCCTTGGCAAAGCTGAATTGCCAGGATCACTAGTTTTGGGATCATGTGAACACAAGCACTGGTGACTGGTGGGTAGCAAGGGATGACTCATATCCTGGGCAGGATGGCATAAGATTTCATCATGTTACTTAGGACAAGATGCAAATTAAAATTTATGAATTTCTTGTTTCTGGAAGTTTTTATTTAATACCTTCACACTGTGGTTGACCTCACACAAATGAAATTGCAGAAATGGAAACTCAGATAAGGAGACACCTACTGTAGTAGTTTAATGCAATGTACATCTGCAACATGCATCGTCTAAACAAAAAGTCATGTATTTTTTGCTTTTTTCAGTAGTCATATCAACAACTACATAGTAAATGTGTAATGTTCATCAAAAGGTGAGATTAGACTAACTTATGAAATGTGACCATAAATGAAGCACAACTGTATCAATTTATTTTGTTTCTAGATATCTTTAACACAAGCATTAAATAAGGAAAATAATAATAATCTTTTTGTGTGTGTGGTACTGTGGCTTGAACTCAGGACCTCATGCTTGTTAGGCAGGTACCCTTCCACTTGAGCCACTCCACAAATCCATTTTTGCATCAGTTATTTTTTGTAGGGTTTTGACTGGGCTGGCTGGTCCACAAACCTCCTACTGAAGGCTCCCTTACATAGATGGGATTACGGGCAAGAGACACCACCATGTCCAGTACATATATATATATATATATATATATATATATACACATATATATATATGAGTCTTATTTATAAAAAAATGATATGGAGAAACAGTGAGCTACAGCTCCCCAAATTATATCTACTCTGTCAGAGAATTACTCTGGAAGTTAACTGCTCCAAATCTTCTCAGATGCTTCCACATCTTTAATTTAATCATAATACCACTTTGACTCTCATTTGGTTTCTAACATTTACATGTTTGACCATTATGAATTGGTTTCTAAATTATATTAGTAGATAAGTAAAGACTTCCTAATTTACCTGTAGCTACTGATTTGTTTACATTTTCTAATTGTTTTTTGTGTTTTTATCTAAAAATTTCTTAATGTAAATGGTTACTTGCTTTGAGTTACATGTTATAAATTTAAAGTCAGATATACTACAATATCGTTTCTTCTTCTTATGATATATTCCGGAATGGCTTTCATGTCAATTTCTACATTTTTTTCCATTACCCCTAGGGATTTAGTAGTGAAACCCAGATTGCAGACAAATACTAAAGTTCTTTGCCATTAGGATTCTGACAATCATTTAAATGGATCATCTCTATTTAGACAAAGAGACAAAGAGTGAGAGAGAGAGAGAGAGAGAGAGAGAGAGAACAAAAAAGTAAAACAACAGAAATGTTCCTGAAGCAACAAACTTTAGTAGTGTCAACCATTGCTTACTCTCCTTGGGGATCCATATATTCACAGACCCAACCGACTGCCAACCAAAAACATTCACACACAAAATGTCTTACATCTGTATTGCACATGTACAGAAATTTTTCTTGTCATTATTCCATAAACAAATTGTCAAAGGTATAAAAAGTAACCTAGAGATTATTTAAAGTATATGAGAGTATACAAATCAGTTACATGAGTATTCTGCAACATGTTATATAAGAAACTTGAGCATCTGTCACATTTTGGTATCTTGAGGGGTTGTGGAATCAGTCCTCTGTGGATTCTGAGGAATGGCTACATAGTGAAATGTGCTGAAAAAATATTATGGGAGTAAACAGGTAGTATATTAGATTTGATGAAGCAGTATGTGTGTTCCCATCTGTCACTCTAGGACCAGTTTTATAGATGGAGGGGGAGGCAGGAGTAGACATCGAGGAGGCTCCAAGGCCCCAGGGGTATGACTGAATATGAGGAAACTGAGCTTGGTTATGTCAGCCTAGAACTTCTAATGAAAGCGAGTGTAACGCAGTGACTAAACCCAGTGAGTAAGCCAAATAAGGCACTAGTATGTGATTCCTTCTAGTTTTATAGATGTAATCATTTCACTTTTCTGTCTTTTCTCTTCCTCCCCCTCTGCTCCCTCAAAATTCCAAGTTTGTTTGCAAAATAGAGAAAACTTTATATAGTCACTATTTTAACGCTTATTGCTAAAATATGGCACTGATTAAAAATAGAATCTTTCAAATCTGGCAGATCTGAGTATAAAAATGTCATTTTGGGCAATATAAACCATTTAAACCACAGATTTTCTCACATGCAAAATATGGTTTTGGAGAGGATTATATGAAGTGGTTCTTCTAAAATCCTGAGCATAATGTCTAGCACATGGTAATTTTTCAGTAAACAGTATTTGTTTTTTCTAATAGTGTTTTTTTAAAACTTTAGACAAAAGGCTATTTGGGTGACTTAAACAACTGTTATCCATCTATGCTTATATTTAAGGAGTTGCACGCAGCATCCCATGTCTGAAAGACCTGCTTTCACATCATGAGATTAGATTTAGTGGAGTTACAACTGATACCGAAGAGGCCAGGTGAGGGAGAATGATGGAGAGGGTGAATTCAACTATGCTGTATTGTAAGAACATTTGTAAATGCCACAGTGTACTCACAGTACAACAATAATGTGATAATAGAAAAATATATTAATGGGAAACAAAAGAGGCTGGGTGAACTTTAGTTTCCTGGAAATATTTGCCTTCTGGCTATTATATGTTTGAGGATGAACAGTAAGTTAAATTACTTCCATCATTCCAGATATACCAGTGACTTTTCACGAGCAACTCTGAGTCTATAAAATGACTTCCTAATTCCTGTTCAGTCTGAGTTCCCATGATCTCTGACTTGATGTCCATCTGATCTCCTTTGTTTACTTTATCCATTGCATAGTTTCCTGGTAATGTAAACTCTGAAGGAAAGAGATTTTCTTGTATTTTGTTCACTATTGTATCCTCAGTACCTACAGCCTGTTTGGCACCTAGTAAGTGGCTCTTTTTGAATGAATGGATTCTAGAAGCATTTTCATGCATTTTAGCCATTTTTTTTTATTAGAGCAAGCCCTTGACCATTTGACCACAAGCAAAATAGGTCATTACTCACACCCTTCCTTCTGGGTTTGTCGACAGGCTTAGATCCAATCACTGTGCTACACACACCATACTCTGACAGTTTAGCCAAAGTGTCCTCAGTGGTTTTACAGTCATTCTGCTACAAGGCCAAGTGTTTTCAGGTCATGCATCTTGTTTTATTCCATTCTTATTTTTTTTCCTTCAGATTTCAGGGTAAAATTTTGTAGGATAATGCTTATCAATTAGACAGATTTTCTAGGCCTATTGATTTGGGATCATAGCAGTGTTTTGCTAAAGCCTTACTATCTTTCTTTCCATTTGTGTTCTTTATCCCTTTCAACAAACTTCCTACCCTACTTCTGCTAGACATCAAAATGCAACTGGCTCAACCAGATGCTCCCTGTAGATATCAAAATCCTCCAATTTCCTCTAACTTTATGTGGAGATGACAATGAAACACACCTGAAGACTGTTCCAGACTTAAAACTTTGATAATTTAATAGTTTCTAACAAGGAGCTCTAAAAATCTATAATTCACATGCCACACTATGGAATGAATTCAAATTGGAAAATAACTGTATTGCTACTAATGTCAGTAAAATTCATTGGATTTCAGAATGAACATTTTATACATATTTTCTGCCTCAGTTTCTAGTCTCTTATCACACATCTCCAACTCATGCTATATATCGTATATTAACTCACATTCCCCTTTTCTTTCACTCAGATTACTAACTTTTCTGATAACATAAGAATCTCAATTCCGGGAAACATTAAGTAGATTAATTATAGCTGGGTGCCAGTGGCTCACCCCTATAATCCTGGCTACTCAGAAAGCAGAGATCAGGAGGATCACAGTTTGAAGCCAGCCCAGGCAAATAGTTCACAAGACCCAATCTCAAAAATCCCTTCACAAAAACAAAGGGATAGTAGAGTAGCTCAAGGTGTAGGCCCTGAGTTCAATCCCCAGTACCAGCAAAAAAAAAAAAAATTAATTACTATCATATTCCAATATCTTGACACTCATTCATTTAAGCTATTATAGTTTGAAGATAGAAAGTATCATGTTGTAATTATATTCAAGTCTTTGGTTTTAAATAAGACATTCTCTTAAAAGCTGTTCACCTCCCATTACAGAGTAGAGGATGTTAATCCCTAAGTCAACTGAAGGTCCACTGCATTCTGAAAGGAATACTGGGAATGCTGATGAGCTAGAACTGAATCACAGTATTGACATTTTGTAGAAGGATTTGGAATAGGCGAGTTGTTATTTCTGCAAGTTTGCAATGTGCCTCTTAACAACATTCCTTTGCTCGTATGTGTAATACAGATCTTCAGGGTCATTTAACTAAGATTTGATAGAAGAGGTGATGGATTTCACATTGATCATCTTATAAAATAGGAAGATATTTTGAATTCTTGAATTCTTGAATGCAATTATCTATAGTCAAGCTATGTTGCACCAATAACACTAGTAGGAAGCTGCTACTCATCTTCAAAGCAATGGTTTAGAACTGTAAACTTGAGAAGAAAATCTAACTAAGAAAGACATACAAATATCTAAAGGAGAAATGAAGCCACTTACCTTGAGGAGGAAATGAGCGTGATGAATTTTCAAGCCTTGAGGTCCTGGACAGGTTTAAATCAGCATATATCACTGGTGTGTCCATTGCAGAAGAGAAATTGGGGCACTACATTTATGTTCAAGGACAAACTCCAAGTCCTGTGAGGCAAGATCAACAAAAGGAAGTACCTCGTCTGAATGATCTGATGTCTCTTTTGTGTCCTCAGCCACCTACACATCTAGTGAGTTTTTTTCCATAAATTATTGAACTAGATGTCCATTATATTTACACATATTGTACCTATTTTTCTTAATTAATTAGGTTTCTGGCAAAATTCTGGAAAGACTTGTTTGTTATTATTTCTTTGCCATCTGTTTGAATTATTGTTGGAAGGCTAAGCTAAAGAGGAGACAATTTAGGCGTTCATGGAGAGTTCAAATTTATGAGAATCCCCCGAAAAGAATCAGGAATTAAGATATGTAGTATTTCATGCAATTTGTGAAAATAAAACTAAAAAAACTTCTAAAATGAGTTAAAGCTCTAATCTTCCTGAGATATCTGTGCTCCAAAGAAAGTTGTGAAATATGGAAAAGGAGGACATAAATAGGATAAAATCATGATTAATACAACAGGAAGAGATCAGTACACTCTTCTTAGCTACGTTCAAATGCCCATGTGAATACAACAGAATATCAACATAAGTAAAAGAATTTCAAACATATCAGAACTTTAGAAAGAAGTAGACATAAGTCTGTAGGATTTCCTAACTCTTTCAAGGATTTTCAGACATAGCTCTTTATAGCTAAGACCTTAAATGCCACCAAGTCTGACATTCTCACATTCCTAGTGAAATAGAAGAGGAAAAGCTAGAATTTTCTTACAGTAAGGTCAACATTGGCAAGAATGTAGAGTAATTAGACTTTGGAAAACTTTAGAAGTTTCTCACAAGTTAAACATGTGAGCTAATCTTTTCATTCTTAGGAAATAAAGAAAATGTATGTCCACAGGGAAAAAACAAGATTCTGTGGTTATAGCCAAATTATTCCAGGTATTCAAAATTACTAGACAGTGCAAGTGGTCTCCTGACTTTGAATGCTAGGAGATAGGCAGTGTTTATTTACAGTAGAAAAATTTTCTTCTGTGCTCATCATGGGCTATACACTTCTTCCCTAACATTAGTGATAATTATGAAATGATATCTAAGTATGTTTGACAGTCTTACAAGCCACTTTTAGAGAGTCAATAAAAATTTTCTTCAACTGTTTGACTATCTGATAATAGTCATTTTACTCTATTTCAGGCATTTTTCTCTGTCACCTACTTCATTTAAATTTCAAGACTTTTAACAAATATGGTAGAGTGTCCAGAATCATCTATATTTAATAATTCTATGTATTTATTATGCTTATATATTTACATACGTATTCTCAATCTTCACTTTATATAAGAATTCCAAACTTTAATGTACATAAGAATCACTTGAAACTTATTAGCAATGCATATTTTTGCCACATAAACACTTTGCTTTTCCGTGATTTTTTTTGGGGAGATTGCTAGCGATGGAACTCAGGGTTCTCATGCTTACTCTATAACTTGAGCCATACCCTTAGTTCTTATGCTTTTAGTTTGTTTTTCAGATAGGGTCTCCCTAACTTTGCCCAGACTGGCCTTAACCACAGTCCTTCTACCTTCACCTCCCCAATGGCTGGGACTACAGGCATGCATCACCATGTGTGACTCCTTCCCAAGACATTGTTAGTCTGAGTGGAGAATGTGCTAATTAACATTACAAATATTTCAGGAGGCTCATGGACCATGCTTAAAAATATAAGTGTGGGCTAGGGATATAGCTCAAATGGTAGAACACTTCCCTTGTAAGCAGGAGACCCTCAATTCAAACCAGTACCAAAACCAAACTTGTTTAACAAGTGGAAATGTGGGGATTTATTAGAAAGACTAATAGAGTGAATAGCAGTCTGATGATCTAATGAGGAGATTAAAAATGTTTTAAATACCCTAAAGTTTAACTTCAATTTCTGAAGCATGACTATGATTACTAGGAACACATAGTGACCACATTAAAAATAAAGTGATTTCAGGCAACGTGTTCTCTTCAACAGATGCTTGCAAATGTCTTTAAGCTATGAAAGTGTAAATTGATTAAAAATATCAACCAAAAATCTTCAGTTGTCCATACGTAGCACAAAACATAATGAAACATCATTGTGCCCTTTACAGAATATGGACAATAATACCAAGTACCTGCATAATCTCTTTTATCACAATCATTGATTGATTGTCATGCAATCATTTTTGTATATATGTATAAAAGAAAACCCTCGTGAGAATTCACATCTGAAGAATTCACCTACCTATGCTAATGAACTCATTTGATCATCTAATGTCATCTAAAATGACATTTTTACAACAAAATATCAGAACTCAGGAATATCTTGATCTTATTACTATAAAATCTAAGGGGGAGGAGAGAGAAACAGACCACACTGTGATATTAAATCTAAGTGACTTAACTGACGAGTGGTTGGTTATAAATAAATAGCTTATTTTGGTATTGAACTCTTGCAAGTTAATTGTGGATGTTGAGATGTGTAGTAAAATATAAACAGTGTTTCTCTTGAAAGTGAAGATGTGTAAAAGAGGGCAGAATATGGTCACAAAAACAAGAGTGATGAAACAATTTTGCGCATGAAAGTGAAAATACAAGATCATCAAGCAGATGTGATAAATATGATCAAAGTGCATTGTATTCAGGAATGAAGTGTCACAATAAAACCTATCATTGTGTGCAATAAAAAACAAGAGGAAAAGATTCAGCTGTGTTAATTTTAAGCAAAGAGAATGTACAAAATACAAAACAAAGGGTGACATTAGCAATATGGACACCAGGATACCTCTGTGAGAAATCTAGGGACAAGTTGAGAACTTGTAGCACAAATCCACATAAAACAAAGAAGAGATTACAAAGAAAAGGGCAGAAACATTGTTGACATTTTTATAAGTACTGTGTGCTAACCGAGTGCATCACTGGAGCCATCATTGGTGACATTTGGCATGCCCATTCATGCACCTCTGCTATGTATCATACTATAGGGTGTTTAGGAGGAAATACCCCCAAGCAGAGGCTCCTTTCTCTAAATAGAAACAAAAGAGTGGATCATGAAACCAGTGTTTCAGCTTGGTGGGTTGTGTCTGAGAGCCTAATTGTCTTACCTTATTAGGATTACTGATAGGACTGGTACTACTGTTGGAAAGCCACAGAAAATAGAGGAAGGCAGCACATTAGAATTGTAGTTCATAGTCAAACACTAGGAGGACAAGACATGAGAAAAAGGTTGAGAGACACCAGAACCTCAAATCAGGCCAACTGGTGAAGGTCTTCCTGGATGAAGAGCATCTGTAAGAACTAAGAGAGGTGACTGGTTTTTCAAAGGATGCAATTACAGCAAAAATTATGGAGATACAAAGAAAAATGGGAAATTTAGACAACCAAAGGAGGAAAATAACACTCTGTTGACCAAACTTAAAGTGTCACAGACCTATGAACTACTTCACAAAGAATTTTTTTTAAATTGTCACAATGGTGTTCAATCAGCTAATAGATACCACAAATAATCAAGTAGAAGAAAGCAGGAAAATGACCCATAAATTTTCTTATCAGTAAGGATATAGAAACCATAAAAAGAATTAAAAGAAATTCTGGAATGAAAAATACAGTTACTGGGATTTCAATAGTAGACATGATCAAAAAGAAGAATCTGTGAACTAGTGGGGAAGACATTTGAAATCACTGAGTCAGAAAAGAAAAAAGCCATTACTAAGAAAAATGATAAAGATATTCTGAGATCTCAGAAAGACAGGTGAGAGATACAAAGAATCAAAGAATTTATATTCTATATAATTACACAGATTTCTCAAATCTGAGTAAAGAATTATACACATAGACTTGAGAACCAAAATGAACTTTGGCTCAAATAAATCTGAAGAGAACCACTCTGAGACACACTATAATAAACCTATGTAAAGTAAAGTGAAAAGAGAATATTAAAAGCATCAAGGTAAAGGTGATTCATTATATCCAAGGGGTCTTTCCATAAACTGATGGCAGATTTCTCAGAAGGGAGTACATAGCTTGAGTGTGTCCCAGAAGCTTTGTATGTTGAGAAAGCTAGTTCACAGTGCAGCAATATTAGAGGTGGTAGGACCTTTAAGCAATATGGCCAGTTGGAAGTCATTCTGGCTACTCCCTTGGCTCTTATTTCCTGTCTAAGAATGTAGTCTTCCTCTCTCATACATCCTCTGCCATTGCAAGGTCATCTGCCTGGTATCCTTGCCAGGGATCAAATTGATGGGGCTACCTGTCATGGATTTTCAAAGCTCCCAAACTGTGAGCTAAACAAATTTCTTTTAATGAAAATAGAAAGAGGACTATTTGGGAAGGGGGAGAGGATCAAGTGAAGGAAGCAGAGTTACATGCAAGTATGCACTAATTATATTCACTATATAACTTCATACTTCGTTATATGCAAGTATGAAAATGTTATCATAAAGCCCACTATCAGGTACAATAACTATGCACTAATTATTTTTAAAAAGGTGGAAAAAGTTAAGCAAACAAACCTCTTTTCTTTATGCATTACTTGGCTTTGGTTGTTTCACTATAATTACAGAAAACTGACTAAAACAGGAGATGGAGGACTAGTGCCATCCCCCAGTTGCTAACATCTCTAGGAAATAGACAGGAACAACAGGAAAGCAGCTTCCATTTAAGGTGGATGCCCACAAGAAGGCACTTAAACGTCAGTAGTGAACAGACAGAGCCATATAAAAATAGAAAAATGTGAAAAGCAGAACAGAGGGAAAGACCAGTAAAGCAGGCAGTGTCAAAGGTGGGGCATATGCAGCTATAGAGGGTATGAATTGTGGGGAAAGAGAGAAAGGGGGAAAGCCTTAGAAAATGTGCACCATAGTTACAGACAGAATCTTATTAAAGTGGAGAGAGAGAGAGAGAGAGAGAGAGAGAATATAGAAAACGTAATTTGGAGAGAGTCTGCATAGTATAGAGGCACTGGAAAAGTTACCTCTTCTTCCAGGCATT